CTCTGTCGTCAGGCTGGAGTGCAATGGCTCTATCTCAGCTCACTGCAACCTCCACCTCCTGGGTTCATGCAATTCCCCTGCCCCAGCCTCCCAAGTAGCTGGGACTACAAGCTCACACCACCACACCTGGCTAATAAACGGGGTTTCACCATGTTGGCCGGGATGGTCTGGATCTCCTGACCTTGTGATCCACCCGCCTCTGCCTCCCAAAGTGCTGGGATTACAGGCCTGAGCCACTGCACCTGGCCTATGTTGACTTTAAAAAAAAAAAAACTAACGGTAAATAGAAGGATCAGACTTTTTGTTTGTTTTTCCTTGAGATATATTTAGTTCCTGGCTTTTGTCACTTTAAAAATCTGGTATTGTTTTAATGGAGAATATAAAGTTGAAGAGTCTGCTGTGAAAGGAACCCCTCTTTCTGTCTTTTTCTTTTCTTTTCTTTTCTTTCTTTCTTTTTCTTTTTTGACATGAAATTTTACTTTTGTTGTCTAGGCTAAAGTACAATGGGGCCCTCTTGGCTCACCGCAACCTCTGCCATCCAGGTTCAAGCAATTCTCCTGCCTGAGCCTCCTGAGCAGCTGGGATTACAGGCATGCACCACCACGTCCGGCTAATTTTGTATTTTTAGTAAACATGGGTTTCTCCATGGTGGTCAGTCTGGTCTTGAACTTTCAGCCTCAGGTGATCCACTCGCCTCAGCCTCCAAAAGTGCTAGGATTACAGGTGTGAGCCACCATACCTGGCTAGGAACCACTTTCAATTTTGCACAGCAAAAATATTAACTATCAACTGTCATTAGCATAATAATATATTTGTAAGTATTATTTTACACCTTTATTAAGTAACCAACATGATAATTAATCCTATTTTACAGATGAGAAAACTAAGGCTTAGAGAAGTTACCTGACTTACCTAACTCATCTCTCAAAGTTAGAAGCAATAAAGCATGGCCGACTATCCTTTTCTTCTGACTTCTAATCTACTTTTCTTATATAATTCCATGATTTCAGTAGTTAACCTTCTGTGGGATTTGCAGCTTTCTGGAATCCCCTCCCACACGGTGGGAGCAACAAATAAAAAAAATAATAATAAATTTTTTTTAAAGTCTTCTGTTTAAATATTACTAGGGAAAATTAGAACATCTTATGTTTCAAATAAATTATATACTTACAAGGTGGGTGGATCACCTGAGGTCAGGAGTTCGAGACCAGCCTGGCCAACATGTAGAGACCCGTCTCTACTAAAAATACAAAAATTCACCAGGCGTGGTGATGCATGCCTGTAATCCCAGTTACTTGGGAGGCTGAGACAGGAGAATCGCTTGAATTCAGGAGGTGGAGGTTGCAGTGAGCTGAGGTGGTGCCACTGCACTCCAGCCTGAGCAACAGAGTGAGACTCTGTCTCAAAGAATTAATTAATTAAATTTAATGAATTATATGCTTAAAATTTTAACTGTCATTTTCCTTTCTCTACTATGTATGGCATATAGGAGACCGTGATCAAGATGACAGAGGCTTCTTGAATTTGTTCCATCTTGTACATGCTCAGGCTAACTTCCATAAGGAGGTTCTGTATTTGACCATGAATACTCCTCTGTCTACCTAAATACTCAGAAAGCCTTGCCTTTAGAGAACCCCAACGAACTAATGATTAGAGGAGTGCTGCTTTTTCACTCAAAAAATAGCATCCATGGGACTTTTATCATCTAAGTCACCTAAGAATTCAGAAGCTGCATAGAATTTTAGAAGCAACTACTTACATCATTATTAATATAAAAATAGCAGGCAAAATCAAGAATGTACTGAGATTTCTCTGGAAAACAAGCTCTGCCTTTCCAGGTTTTGGTCAACCTAACACCAAGCCAAAGTAGAATGTTAACTGTCCAGGAATCTGGGACCAGCCAACCTCTATGTGTGAATCTCTGAAGCAAGGAAAAATTCTATTTTATCATTAGATCCAAATTCACTAAATAGTATGTATGTTCACTTTGCTTAAGTTGTATAGACATAGCCCAGAATGTTTTGTGAAGATTTGCAATATGGTGTTTGGAATGTGTAGAATACAAATCACAAGTTTTTACCACCTTCTTGGCATATGCTTACAAAGAACATTATATTTTGTTCATGTTTTACATGAACTAATGGATAATAAACAAAGTATATGTGTGTGTGTCTATATATATATATATATATATATATATTTCCTTCTTTAAGATGAATCATATAAAAGGTCTATACATACAGGCAGGCATATATTGTCTCAATACAATCAAATCATCTTTTACTGGGGATTCAAATAAAATGTAGCAAACAAGAGAAAAATAAAATGAAAGAAAATAGCTATTCTGCTGCCAGCATCTTCACAAATAGTTTTTACTTATTCCTAAAGCTTTTCTCCCTACCTTAAAAAGTGATATTTGGTTTTGAAAAAATTTACATCAGAAGCAAATGAGTTTTGGACCAATACTGTTGATAAATCTAAATTGTTAAGAGAGATCTTATAATGTAACCTCAAATTCTTTATTAGACTTTACTGAGTACTGGCTCTTTCCTCCCCTGGACAAGAATTGAGCAGCTTGTCACGACTGGGAAAGGAGGACCTGCAACCATCTGGCTTGGTCTCTGTTAATGACATCTCTCCCTCCAAACCCCATTAAGGACTGGGAGAGGCAGAGCAAGCCTCAGAGCCCAGGCCTTGGTGGTTATTAAGATGTTAAGTTGTTTGCTGCAAATTTCGGTGATTTGATCAATAAAGGGTAATTTCTTCCTAAATAAACTCTCCTGGCTAAAAAAAAAAAAAAAAAAGTGATATTTGGCTGGGTGCAATGGCTCATGCCTGTAATCCCAACAATTTTGGAGGCTGAGGCAGGAGGATCCCTTGAGTCCAGGAGTTGGAGGCTGCAGTGAATTATGATTGCACCATTGCACTCCAGCCTGGCAACAGAGTGAGACCCTGTTTCTAAAAACAAACAAACAAAAACAAGATTTGATGAAGAAAACTAAAAGTATGACTGGTTTACAGCAGCTCCTGAGAGAGTGAAGGTTCAGTTCTCTTGGCTCAATTATATAGATTCCAAGAAGCTGCAGGACTATTTCAGTCTGACTAGTCACTGCTGCTCTTACTTTTACTATTAAAGTAGATAATAATAGTGCTTGACAGGGCTGAAATAATGCTGGAGTCCTCCTGGGTCTCTCGTCCCATTTTTTGCTCGTTGGGTTTGAGCACTTTACACCTGAAGATACATTGCTTCCTCCTGCACTTCTGAGAGGCTGGCTTTTTTTACCCAAGGTCTTGATTTAACTCGACTTTGGAGCTGATGAAGGGAAGAAACACTAGAAAATATGGAAAGTATCTGTAGAAGTAGGGTGTAAATTGTGGGAAATTCGCAAATGTTTGGTAAGAGGGAATTGGTGAGAGATGAATAGGACTGAGGAAGAGTGAAAATTGTGGAGAAAACAGAAATTGTGATAAGATTTTACTGTATTTCAGTAGCAAAGGCACTTACCTTCATTTCTGGAGGGTGAGAAGCTAACTGTCTTTCTTAGATGGATTTTCCAACTGTAATTCCATTGGTGGCAGGAATTTTTTCTCCAGTTTGTCATTTGCATATTTATGCAAAAACAAAGTTCTTGCTTTTAGCCTGGTTTTATTTTCTTCTTCTCAATTTAAGAATTCACCCTCAGTTGAATTATAAATGGAATTGAATTATAAACATTAAAAGTTGGCAGATATCAGAGCATAAAATAATACCTTCGTTTTTTCATTTTCCCCCTCTTTTTCCTATACATGCTTGCAAAGCATAGATTTATCAAAACATTGGTTATTCCAAGTAGAGAATATACTCCACTCAACTATCTGTGAGGGAAAGAAAAAATAAGAAAAAAAAATAAGTATTTAAATATAAGTAGTGAATTTTTTTTTTTTTTTTTTTTTTTT